CCTAAATAAAGTTGATGTAGTCATTAAGTAGCATAACACTAGTGAGGTGATAGATCCTTAATGTAGCAAAGGCACAAACAATTGAACAAATTCTTTTGGCTTTATTACTCCTATCAAAACTCAACACAAAAGAGTAAAGCAATAGAGGAGAATGAAAACATATGAACAAAAACTTTTATCCAAAGTTTCAAACTAATAATAAATTTTACTGCAATGGTTGACTTCTATACCAAATGTAGGAGTTTTCATAGCTTGGGGCCCTAAATCCTTAGGGCTACAGAAATCACAAATATAACACAGTTTCTATAATTAACATTTTCTATTTCTAATCCTGCTATGTTTCTGCTCTAATAAAAATATGGAGATCCATAAAAACTAGTTCCTAAGATCAGATGGTTTTCATGAGTCAGAGTGTTTCAAACTCCAAGTCCAGGATAGGGATTTTAAAAATATCAAATCTATAATCAACTTATCCTAAGTTTTATCAAAATAAAAACATTTGCTGAGGAAAGGAATTGACTGGGAGATAGACTAGAATTTCACCTTTGTCACTTTCATCTAAATCAAACAAAACAATATCCATGCAGCTTTAAAGGCACAAATAAAACATGTTCAAAAATGCAGCTGACTTCTTAGTGACTAAATTTTTTGTTATATAATGCTAAGCTTTTAAACTGTAAATCCACCTTCCCTGTTAGAGCCTCGGCATCAAGACACTCAGCAGAACTTCAGTGTTCCTGTTCAGAGAATATATTTTGGTAAAAGACCCCCAAGGAATGTTAAAGGATCATCAAGTGACCAAGTTAATCATCTAAGTACTCCAGATGGTGCACTTCAAAACTATCTATCTTTATGCTTGGCTCAGAATCCACCAGAGCAAAGGGGACATGAGAAATGGAGATACACTTTATCTATAGACACTGCAATACGTCTTTTTGTGTTAAATTATATTTAATAAAGGTACTTTATTTAAGACATGCAAACAATAAACTGTGGTGAAAAGAGATCGTTCATAAAATAGTTCAAAAATCCTTCTTATTTACAGTAAAACCTACATCATTTCCAAGCACAGATAGACTACTACAGACTGGGACATCACCAAAGAGCATCAGGTGTTTTTCTGAACACTTATTTCTCCGTGGTTGGCCTAGAAGATAACAGTTCTTTTCCAAGCCAAATGCTCAGATTTGGCTTTAAAATCATGGTTATAATCATGTCATCAGTGGGAACTAAGACAGTGAAAGTAAAATTGGGTTATGGTGAATTTTAAGTGGTTAACTTAAGCCTTTTCTGGTGGGCTAATAACATCTTTTGGACCTAAAAAAAAGGTCATTTTCACAGTGGTTTTAGAAAAAGTAATCAAGTGTCCATAATTCTGGTCACCTGCATAACATCTGAGAATAATGACAATGTTAAATATCTTTGAAATGCCCCAGTCTGGGTGCCCCTGTCCACTCAAGCTGAAATACTCAGGGTAAGTCGAAGGGACTCTAATAACATTAAATCATTGTGTCCTGCACATGCTCAGAACCAATCCCTTCCAAATTTGAATGCATATAAAAATTTGAAGAGCTTCAATTATTTTAAATCGCCATGTGCAGTGTAGAGAGAGAGTTCGCATTGTTGTAGTGCCTGGCATTTTTTAAGTACTTCAGCTTGGAAGGGAGTCAGGAAACATCCTGTCCGGACACATCAGCTTAGCTGAACACATCAGAAGTAGAAATATATATATATATATATATATATATATATATATATATATATCTTAAAAACAGATTTTTTTAATTACACAACTTGAAAAGTGGGCATCTTACAAAATAAAATAAATACACTGTCTCAACCCATTTTCCTTGAAAATTGTGGCTGCCACTAGGCCAGGCCAGAAGAGAAAGATCAAAATACCATTTGGAAGCAGGAAAAAAGTGATTTTCAAAGCAGAGCAAGATAGAAGCAACACTAGCAGACTCTAGAAGCAGAGCAGGAGGATTCATGCACTCCCGCGGAGGACTGTTGACAGCAGGGGCATTACCCTTACTGTTTCTTCTTGCTTTCACTGGCCTAGAGAAGGTGACTTCTTGGTCCCTTCATGGAGGAGTGATTGTACAGCCTTGTGTTTCACCAACACTCCAAAACCACTCTCTCTATGTCCCCTTTGTTAGACTGTGGGAGAGGGTGAGCACTTTGACATTTTACACAGCTCAGAGTTCACGCTCAACATACAAACCCTTAAAGAGCCCAAAAAATATATCTGCACAATCAGGCTTTTTAAACATGACCTTTCTTCAGCGTTTCTCGTCGTCTCTTCTAAGGAAAAAGTTGTGGTCGCCTTTGGGTGTTCACGTACTCTAGGCTTGGCACTGCCCAGGGAGCTGGATACTCTCCATAATTGTGTGTCAGTGAAAACATAATGTCCTATAGTTAGTAAGGGGAAAAGGGGAAAGGGAAAAAAATGAAAGCAAAAAGCCTGAAGGCACTAGAATAATTAAGCCAATGCAGTGACAGCTGTGGCAGGTCCTGGGCAGAACTGGCCCCACTGAGCTGAATTAATACCATCAACAGCCCCGTGTCTCCATTAACACTTGATCATTAATTATTACCCTCTGACAGTAAGAGCCCAAACCTTGTTAGGAGTGGTCTGTTATTAATCTACCTTACCTGCCCTCCACACTGACACCTCAGCGCAGTTAGTGGAGCTCTTCCAGTCCTTGGATTTTGTTGGGCAATTTTTTTTAAACTTCAACCACTGCTTAGTTTACCTGGGTAAAGAGTGATGGCCATCAGATCATAAAGTCTGCTTTGAGTCACTAGGTTTCATGCTCTGTCATCTAAGGCAGGGGTGGGGCGGATACCTGGCTAAGCTGCAGTGACTTTCTTTATCCAGTTTGGAAGGGTCAGGAGACAGTTTACCTGAAGAAGTGCAGACAGCAGCAAAGATGTAAATTATTCACTACTGTCCTCTTATCTGCCCCTATGATGACAAGAATTCCTCAGATTCCCTTAGAGTTTTGTCCGTGGAACTCTGGGCACTGGGCATGTGTCTTTCCAATTCCGAGAGCTGTTCACTTCGACTGCTTCCAGGAGGTCAGGGAGATTGCTCAGTGGTTAACAATGTTCGTTATGACAGCTGTAGGACCTAAAAGCAACCCCTCCCCTCCCCCACCCAAATCATAGTGGAAGAAGAAAGCAGACTCCAGAAGTCACACTTTTGAGCACCTAATATACACTGGGAGAGTACAATAGACACAGGAAAAGAAATTCTATGGAATTCCAGGAGGATTGGAAAGTCCATAAATCAAATAGCAATACCAAGCTCTGTCCTTACAGCATAGCATGAGTGTATTTTACTCACTGAAAACTAAAATTGGGGAATGCAAGCCCAAGCTCATGAGTTAAGTGCTCTCCTCACAGCAGCAGGCAGTACAGTACTGGAGTGATCATTAACCTTTACCAAAGACTTCATAGAAGTCCAGTACATTAATTTGCTGATTGTTCTTTTCCTGCTAAAGACATACCCCAGAGTTCACTTCCTCATCATAAACATAGACACAGTATAACTTAATAGAGTGTCTGCTCCAGCTAATGGCCCTGGAATGCACTGAGAAGACCCCAGAGCTTCTAGGAGCAGATAACATGCTTCCAGACTGCATCAAGAATCTGTGTATAAAGAAACGATGGTATGAGCAGAGCTGACCACGTTCCTGGTCATTCTCTCTTCCATAGGCAGAACACATTCTAAGGAGCAGTTGTAAGGCTTAAGAAAAAAAATTCACTTTTATATATCCTACTTACTAACACATGGCATTTCATTATACCAGGAGGACTAAATGCTTACTTTCCCATTCTCAATCCTAGCCCTAAACTGAGCTCTGCTCTCTTGTCTGTGTTGACAACACCATGTAGATCAGTCCTGCACAAGATCCTCCTGGGTCCCTCAGTGTGTGACTTTGGTTCAGCAAGTCCCCTCACTGGAAACCATTAGCTGGAAATGACTGTATGTGGGATAAAGCCATTGGTTAATGCCTTTACTTGCTATCCAAAATAAGACAATCATAAAATGGGGGGGTTTAATTCCATGAGCCCCAATTCTCTCATTTAGGGAAAAAAATACAGAAAAATGCAAACAGCACAACTTCTTTAAAATGTAAAGTTGAGACACATGTTGAGTGATATAAATTTGCATAGCTAATCAAGAGAGGTGAACGGAGAGTCAAGAAAGAACAAGTAACCAGACAAAGTAGCATTTAGTAAACATTTAGCAAAGTACTGAGAGGTTTTGACATTCCAGGAAGTTCTGTGAAGGAAAAAAAAAAAACTGCTTGCTATCTGTGCACCATTTCCGCTGTTCCTCAGGGAACTTGTGCTTCATTCTTTCTCATCGGCGGACAGAGTAGCTCTGCTCTCTGCAGCTTTGTCCCTTCTGTACACTTTGTGGTGATTCCCAGGACTTAGCCCTACCTCACCTCATTTCAGTGACATTCTGACTCCCCACATCCACCCAACCAAAGGCCCAAATGCCCCACTCCTCTCCACACAGATATGTTTTGCCCAGCAGACACAGAAATGTTTGCTTGTTTCGACTTATTTCTTATAATTTCATTCACGTTTTCCCAGGTACAGCATTCTAAAAATATATAATTTTAACCTTTTATCCCATATAGTTTATTCCATAGTAGTAGCTTTGTATTGGTTTGGATTATTCTATCAAATTTACATTAGTTGACTGTCAATATTCCCTACTACCACTGTTCAATTTCTGTCTTTTGCATATTTCCAGAGGGTCCCTTGTTTCTGAAGCACCCAATTTCACATTAGGATGTTTAGTTATAGGTACCAGTTTTCCCGAATATTCCAACTACATTCATCCAATTCATGTTTGACAATTCTTAGCAAAAAAGAAATTAATGCAAGCAGACCATTACTGAGAAACTTTGATGACACTCACAACAAAAGTAACCACATTCTACATCGGCAATCCTCAAAGAAAAGGTCACTAAACACCATCTTTTTATATTTTTTATTAAATATTTTCCCGAATTTTCTTCATCTTATGACACATTCACAATGATCTTTTAAGGAATTAAAGTCTTGCATTTTGATTACCTCTTTTTAACATTTACCAGGAATAACAGAGAAGACATTGTTTGACATTGAATTTCTGTTAACCATGTCCTTCCCTGGAGCATAGTTGTACACATTGTTTCAGAGCTAACATAATGGGGAATATTTTCAAAGAAGGCTGTGTTTCAAGCCAGATGGTTTATCTGCTGAAACAATTCTCCCAGTAGAGAAATAGTGGCTGCACAGTTGCAGTAGTGTTCATAAGCCCAGTGCAGTAGATTCATTTGGCACCCACATTTTGGAGTCAAACAAAAGTATGGTTTGTGTGAATCGCAGACTCAGATATTCATGACTGAAAAGGAGTTCTCTGAACTGTGTGTTGTGCGTTATTGCAAAGACTGGGATATGTTTACATCACAAACACAATATGAAAATAGGATAAAATGTTCAAGTATACATTAGTAGTTTCACCTATACAGTGCAAAGGGGTGATGTTGTTAGGATAAATGCCTTAGAGATTACCATGGTCTGACTCAAGGAAAGCCAAATTGCCATTACTTGTAAGAAAAGCAAATATACTACCAAAGTTGAAGCCTATTGCATCTTCTAGCACTTGAAATGAAAAACATTAAATATGTATGGTCTCTTGGGCAAAGACGACCCATGGTCTCTGAATGATGGGGAATGACACAAAGCAGTTAGTGATGCTGCCGCATACTTCTCCCGACCTCCTCACAGAGCTCTCTGTTTTTTAATCTTTACTCTCAAGGGTGCCTTAAGCAGCGTCTTGGTGGCTCACTGAATTGGCTTCTCTAGCCCACAATGGTCCTCGGGTGTCTGGTGATGCATGTTGGGAATCATATCCTTTGTCACAGGAACAGTCACTGTCCATATTTTAAAAATAAAACGGAAGAGGTTGAGAACTCCAACAGGGGGTTGCCATGCCCTGGAATGTCTCTAGCATGTAGAGGGATGGGAAAATCCCTGAGATTCCAGAGATTAAAAAATAGCACATGGGAGGTTCTAAATAAAGAAATTCTTGGGTATGTTGGGGAAGTTGGCACCAACCTTGCAGGTCTCTCCCTCACAGACTATTTTTGTTTCAGTTAGCCAGAAGGCAAGTGCCATAATGGACATGCATGGATGTGCCCTTCTGTGCTTAAAGAACCTAATGAATATTAGTGGCATTCTACTTGGAAAATGAGATACTTTTAACATTTATGATTCTCCACTAATTTATTTTTATACGCCTATAGCTATATATGTATATAAGATACATCTTATGTCTCATTTATTCTATTAAAACAAATGATGCTATCTACTTCAAAACTTTAGGAAGAAAAACACACATACTTGTAAAATTCTGAATCTACAGAGTGAGGCTTAATTTGAAGTTACACTTTAATTAGCACATACAAACACAATTTGTGCACTGTAACAACCAAAACATAGGAAAGGAAAATACATAAAGCACAATATCCTAAAATTCACAGGTTGTTTAGAAGACTCGAGAACCCTGTACACACCTACATATCAGTGTTAAACTGGGTAGGAAACATTCAAATCAGAATTCAAACAAATGATTGAGACATGTACTAAGATGAAAGTCTTTATGTCTCTGTTTCCAAAGCAGCACCTCCAGGCAATCAGATAGAAATATAAACATCTAATAATGGCCTGCATCTCTTGGGAATCCTAAACACCGGCCTTCCTCTTTAGTCTCCTGCACACCACATCTTGACTTTCCTGAGTGAGGAGTGGACTTTCAATGCAGCCATTTGATTTGCTCAAACTAACCCAATTGTGGGGGGTTGTAAATGGCTGCTCTGGCGCTGGTTCTCATTTTTCTACTTTTCTTTGTATCCTCTTATGAATATCCTCAACTAACAGCAGACACATCATGGGATGTTGTAACATCAAATTCCAGCTTACACTCATAAGAGAACTTTGCAAACATTTTTATAAGCAATCTAATAGTACATATCTAAGACAAAGAAAAATCCTTTCAGCCAAATACCTAATGTAGCCAATTTTTCTGAGTAATTAATGCCATATATCCCTTAAGTACAAAGTCCTAAATACCAGGAGAACCGTCGAATGCTGAGCACTTAAGTATACAACTGGATGGCTTTCTCACAGCACATCATTTCCAACGATTTCACCAAGAAGAAACCAGGGCTTATATTTTTCCTACGTTTTGGCAGACAGTGTTACCAAAACTATACATATGAAATAAGGGAAAGGAGGTGAAAGACTCTTTGAAAGCCAAGTCAGGGCCATTTAAATACTTGTAGCTTCATAAGTGAATTGCATATATCTAATACGTGAACAAATGTAGCCATTCTCAGAGCTTACTTAAGTGATCTTAATTGTTTGCATGGCAACAAGGTGGAGTACAATTAAGGTTTATAAATATTACATGCAAATGAAGACAAGACTGGTATCTTGATAAATTGGTGTATTTGAAATATGACTTTCCTGAGGAAAAAAATAACTTCATGTTTAAAATGGAAAAAGAAAATTAAGTTCTTCAGCAATGTTGTGTAGCCTTAAAGAATATTCAGAAAATCATGTAACTGATGAGAGTTGGGAATAGGTCTTAATTATTGCCATTGGGGTAGCTGTAATAGTCCAAGGTAGTAAGCTTTTCCTTCTCTCTTTCTCTTCTCTCTCTCTCTCTCTCTCTCTCTCTCTCTCTCTCTCTCTCTCTCTGTCTGTCTCTCTCTCTCTCTCTCTGTGTGTGTGTACACATACCTGTGTATACTTTCATGCATATGTGTATGTATCTGCTATTGGACCTAGAATTTGATACATGCTAGGCAATAACTCTACACTGTTATTGAACCTAGAATCTCATGCGTGCTAGACAATAACTCTATACTGAGTGTAATCTCTAGACCCTACCTTAAAATTTTTTTCACTGAAAACAGTGAGGCATGTATCACAGTTTACCACTTAAAAGGAAAAATCTAAGACAAAATAAAGACAGAAGAGTGAGCGTACAAGAAAAGACATGAGATGTGAGAAGGCAGGAAGAAGCCAGCTCAATAGATCAGCTTTATTGTTGGCTGATTTCTTGGATGGACCACAGTGATTGTGCATTCCTAATACTCTCTGTGAGAACCTTCCAATAAAAGGGGAAACCAAATTTTATCTCCTCTATTATGCTCATGCTTCCCTTCCTAGATCACATGTTCAGAACCAGTGTGGTTTCCAGCAGGGCCGCCTCAGGCTGCACAGGTCTGCCAGGGTCTTCCTGGTCAGGGATGCTTGCACTCTCATTTAGCCTTCCCTACTCTCGCCAAGTGTGCAATAGCCACAGAACAGAGCCACGCTTTTTCATATGTGCTAACGTTTCCAGGTGGCCTGTTTGTGTTATGGTTGTGCCTGGCCTCAAAATAAAAACAAATTGACAATCCCTCACCTCTTCCAAGCCAGTGCCAAATTTTAAATAAAATGTCTAGTGGTGATTTATTGCCAATGCAGACTGCCAGACTGGCATCCTGTCCACTCATAAGCAGACAAATCAGCAAAAGCTATGTCAGCCTTGCCAGGTGCCCTAAGTATATTCTAGAAACATTCCAAATATCATGTTTATTCTGTTACCAGCCTTCAAAGTCGTGTATACTGAGAAATAAGATCTCTAGATGACCTTACTGGCTTAATAAAGTGGTCGTTCTTCCTTTAGGGACATCCGAGGACCATCCACATTCATTTTCCCTAGATGGCAAACTGACTTTCACACCATGCAAAGAAACAAAACCAAAAGAAGTTCTTTCCTCCAAGTAATTTCAGGTCAAGGATGGGTTTCCTATCACTTCCCCAGGGAACAAACACCTGCCTAGCAATTCACAAGAGATGCTTCTCTTCCTTATTCTTCATCATAAATAACAGCACCCCTAAGTGTACATTTCTACATGCTGATTTAGGCCATACGGGGCATTATCCATCACCACTGTTCCCCAGCAATCTGATCTATCACTGCCTCAATGCCGTGCGTTTGAGGCTTGTACTGCACCCATCCTTCTTCCTCTCCAGGGCTTGCAGTAGTATATCTAGACAGAAAAGAAAAGAACCTGAAGTTGTCACTTGCCATTTCTCTAAGATTACAGAGAAGCTGGGCTAGCACACAAACTGCCCTTACCATCTTACTTAAGCTATCCAAGTACCTACTTACCAAGTCAGGGAGAAGAACTCTCCCCAGGCTCATCTCCTTGCCTCTATGTCACTTGTACACAAACCTCAGAACTGTCTATATTTCATCAGCCATTGTCTACATGTATTATTTAATAACCTGTTTAACAGCATGCCTAATTACAAACATTTATTATAGAATTCAATTCTAAAAGTGTATAAGAATATGCTAAATTGTTTCTTACCTAAAGTTTTAATGAGAGTATAATACCTTCAGCCCATATGCTTCAAGAACGTTATCCTTAATTATGTAACATGGGTATTTTACTGATATCTGTTAACTGCTTGAGCAGCTGTGGTTTTCTGCTATTTTGCACAGCTCAGGAGGAGCAGTGAGTTCAGTTTCCCCTTTTTGGGGGTTGCAAAATCCATGCCCCAAACAGGTGTGTGCAATCACGAACCACAGTGATGAGCCCAAACTGCTGCCTTTCTAAAAATTCCACCAGCCGGTGACACACGCTGCTCAAGGTTGCACAACCTTGTTTTCCACCAGCTATTTTGATGATTCATTCCCCCATGGGGAGGTGAACTTCAGCCATTATTTCTCCGCTCCTGTTTCTGATAATTAGAGAAATCACTTCCTCATTTGATGATCTCTCTCTTCCTCTCACTCTCCATCCCTTCCTCTGTCCTTCTTTAAAATTAATTGACCTTTTAGAAGGTGGTGTTCTCTTCTCCATAGACTTCAAAGAATAGGAGAGGTAAAGTGTGAGCGAGTTCTCTCTCTCTCTCTCTCTCTCTCTCTGTCACACACACATACACTCTCTCTCACTCTCTCACTCACTCACACACTCAGAACTCTTTAAGTCGTCAATCTGCTGCAGTAACCATACCTTCACAACAAGTAAATCATTCATTAAAAGCACCTATCAGTATTCAGACCTATGAGCCTGTGCAGTCCACTTCCAAGCAGTGACTTTGCAAAGCTGCCCGCTGTGCTGAGGGAACTTGGTGGCATTGTCACCTGAGCCTCCTTCATGTCGTTTCAAATATCAAATGCAGAAATCACCTTAACAAGAGAGATTCTCACAAACGTCAGTGGTTTATTAGAGCCATGTCTGCTGACAAGCGACTCTAGTCTTCTTAGAAGCAGAAGTAAAGTTGATGATTAAATGACAAAATTTAAGTCTGTAAGAACACATCGATGTACAGCAAACCTCAGACCTTTTCAGCACAGGCAAATGACACTGGGCAACAGGGTCAGCCAGAAGAAGCCAATATTCTTTCAGAAATGTTCTTACAAAACTTAGACAATACAATTTTACCTTCCCATCTTGATTTTTCAAGAAAATGAGGAACTCCAATTAATGTTCTTTTCCTTGTTGAACAACAATTTAAAGTTCAACAATGATACATTTTGGGAATTGCTTTCTTAATGATGCCTAAATAGGCACAAAAGTACATCAACCACTTCACATTTCTCTCAGTATTTTTGTACTGGAAGTGGTGTTCACAATAGCAGTACAAACTGTGGAGTCTGATAATCCAAACACAAGGTGTTATTTTTAACCACATACTGTCCCCTTGAGCGAGCGACAGGAACTTTAAGAATGCCAGCTTTCTCATCTGTAAGTGTGGAAATAATAGAAGCCTCACCCAGTGCACAGGTGAAATAGTGTTTTTCAAATGCCTCAGTCACAGTGCCGGATGCATAATGGCTGCTGAGTGACGCTTCCCTGACATGTTATCATTCGCAGTCCTTTTCACCCAGAAGGGGTGTCCCTCTCGCATTACCAGAACCTGGTACAGCATGTAGTCCATGGTGAACGTTAACAGGTACATATTGAACCAGGACAAATGCATTCTTCTGAACATATGGAAAATCTTAAATTGCAGATGGAATGTTAAAGGTTTTCAATGGAATTACTGTGAAATTAGTTCAGGGACAAGTGTGGTTTGACTTAATTCATAATACACCCAAAGCTTGCTATTAACCAAAACAATAATATCATTATATATTGTCTCTCAAACAATTCATCCCTATGACATCCTCCCCTCCTTCTACTCTTCCCAATTTCCCTCCACACCTCCTCTCATCCCCAGATTCACTCCTCCTCCATTTCCCTTCAGAAGAGAGCAGCCTCCCAGGGTTATCAACCAAACACAGCATAACAAGTTACAATAAAACCAGGCACAAGCCCTCATATCAAGATTGGACAAGAGGAAAGTAGGAGTGGGGGGTGTTTCTGACTTTTTTGCCTCTCCTGGGCATTTTTCCTTGCACTGGGTTACTTTGTCCCCACTCCTACTGTTAGCAGCCCCACAAGAACACCAAGCTACACAACCACAGCATGTATGCAGAGGGCATGGCACAGGCCAATTCAGTCTCTTTGATTCCCTGAGCCCTGCTTAGTTGATTCTGTGGGCCGTGTTCTCCTGGTGTCCTCAACCCCTCTGGCTGCAGAGATGGGGAGGAAGGATTGTAAGAGTCACTATATATTCTAAAGTGGCTGATTTCTTCCTTTGTACTTTTTTGTTCTTTATATATATATATATATTAAGAGGTTTTTTGCTATCAATGAGAAATTATTTCCCTAGACATATTCACAAACATTAGGTGAGTAGGTGACTTTAGGTGGATTCGGTGGATAAGATAGCAGAAGTCATAGGTTAGGGCCAGATGGGGAGGTGGTGGGAGGAGAGTCCTAGATAGGAGGAACACTCAGCCACCACTTCTATAATTCTTGGTAGCTGTAGGGGTGTGGACTCCATAAGGGTGGTGGAACACTGAAGCAAAGTCACACTTCCCCAAACGCAGAGGCAGTGGGGTGAAGACTCCTGTCTCAACCTGCCCCATATACAAACCTGGGCACTCACACCTCACAGCTCAGCCATGGGAGTTAAGGCTGTCTGTACTGGACTTCAATCACACTATCAATCAAACACATTAATACATGTCGTGTCATCATCATTTTATTTCCCCATACTGTCATGTGTCTCTACCTTTGACTATGTTTCAGAAATCATAAGACTCTTTAAATAACTCAAAGATGAGGCAACCTTAGGCTTAATAGACAACTAAACAAGGTGTCATTTTTTTAATCTGAAGCTATTGTTGCCTGTGCATCAATTTACAGGTAGAAAATTGAGTTGTTTCTTTCAAGCAATATCACACTACAAATTGTTAACGGCTCCACAACAACCAACAGTCAAGGGTACTGGACCTTGATGGATCTCCAGTCAGCATCAAGATAAGAACAAGAAATGCCTAGGAGAACATGAATACATTCCAAGATGGACGGCTGACGTTCTTAGAGCTCTTTAAAAATGGAGAGACAATAACAAAAGAAACCCGCACAGGTATCCTCAACTCTTCCTGAAGCTGCTCACTGCTTAACGGTGCTCATCTTGCTTCTGGAACACCTGGTTACAGGGACATTAAAGGCCATCTTCAGTTTACATAGGTGCCCTCTGAAAAGAGTGTGCTCTGTCATGGCGCTTAGAGAAAGGAGAATTACAAACAAGGAACAGAAACTGCGGACTTTTTTTAAATCTTAGGTTGGAATCCCATGACCCAAGATTTTGCAAGTCCTGAAGGAAATTCAACTCAGGCAATGAAGAGTCTTATGATACAATACCCTGCAATCTGCTAGTGCTTAAACCCCTGATTCATAAAGGCAGAGAGAGAACCAGTAAAACAGACACAACTCAACTCACCTGACAATTCATCATCCTGCTTCTTCCACCTCATAGTTTGGTACCACTCTCTTAGAAACCCTCTCATCCATTGTTATGTCTGTGAGTTGCATTTGGGCAAAGACAGAATCTTATGCTTCCCTGACACACCAACTTCTGGTATAGAAACGGACTCAGATGAGATACTAGATATTTGTTAAATCAGTTAATTAAATGACAGATATATAGCAATGTTTTTAAAGGGGTTTGTCTGTGACATATTTTTCAATTCAGCAACAAGTAACATGTAGGAATATCATATATAGTATAGCAAGGAAAGTTGAATGTCTTACACAGAATCTTGGGGCCAGGTTTCTTTCCCATGCCCATTTTGACATCTCCTGCAGACTGTGGTTCATCAGGGGTTGTCTTGGTTGAATCTTAAAGATTAGAAATGAGAAAAGAATAGCATGGTAAGCCCTGGAAGCTTCATCCTCATAGCCTTAAAATTTCTGCTCTGATGGTACCATCGACCTCCTATTAACCATCCCTCTGAAAATAAGAAACACCTTCTCCTGTTTTTTTTTTACCCCATCTCAGTAAGATAACTTCTATCGTTTGTTATTCATACCAAAATACATAGGCACTATTAACTTCTCTTTCTCCCTAATTCATATCTAAGATCAATTAGGAGATCCTTTTGTACCTATTTCTAAAATATCTCTAAATTCAGTCACCTTTTGTTGCCTCCTCAGCAAACTTGGTACAAGCCAACACTGTGTTCATGTAGGTTTTAGAAATAAGTCATATCAAGTCCTTGCCCCCTGTAGTCCACTCTTGTAGGAGAGGCGGGGCGACACACTTTAGTCATCATCCATACCATTCCTTCAGTGTGAGTTTTGGAAAGCACACAGAGGGGAAGATCGTATTCTTTCTATGATATTATAGTTCATAGATTACCTGTATCCTCCAAACTGCCATACCCATTGCCTGTCTGAACTCTCTAATGAATCCTTCATCTCTCTGCTCCAGGAGCACATTCTAGGCACCATTCCTAATAAACTATGGTTAAGAGTACTGACTGCTCTTGCAGAGGACCCTAATTTGGTTCCCAGCACCCATGTTGGGTGGCTCACAGCTACCTATAACTCCAGCTCCAGGAGATAGATATATCTGGTCTTGCACTCAGATATACATACATATGCAAAATTTAAAGTAACAAAATAAATCCTTAACAAAATATATAAAGAGAACTTAAGAAGTCAGCTACATTAATTTAAAAGCCAAATACATTCCCTTCATGGAACAATAATCCATCTAGAAAATATTATGGCATGGGGAAAATTCTATTAAAATATAAAAAAATATGAAATATTGCAGAGGAAATTTTTAAGTCATAAAAATAAAATGTTCAAATGCTATTAATAAAGGTAAAGTAGCTTTAAACTCACTAACATAGATCATTCTTAAATTATCAAGAATACTTTTGCATTCACCAAAATTCAGGGAACTACCAGGCAACAAGGACTCAGCCATGAACAGCAAGTAGTATCCCACAGCACTAAGCATTCAAGTAGTTCCAAAAGTAACTCACAGGTCTTTTTCCTCCAATACAGCTCTAGCCCATTGGCCCACAACTGAGAATGGCACTAGAATCTATGTACAGTAAGGTGTTTCCTTTTGACACTGTTCTTTGTCTTGCCACACAAATCAAAGCCACCAACAAACACCATCAACTTTCTTGCCTGAACATTTCTGAAGTGTGCTTCCTCTCCACCACCACTGCCAATACCTGAGCCTGTCATCATCTCTCTGCATTGTCTGCCTCAACTTCTCCTAAAGGGTAGATATCCTTTATGAAAGACTTCGAAATGACTCTTCATCATCCAGATCTTAACAAAAGCATCAGTGCTGTGGAGGGAATATGCATACAGGATGACAGGTTCTCTTCCTGTCAAAGAGCCATTCGACTCTAACTTGCTGATGACTGAGTCATACTGTGGTGGTACGATGACCCAATCACCTTTGTTCTCTCCTGACAGCCTATATGCACTATTAGGATAGGAAAACTACCTACGGGTCTCCATGTGCTCTAGTGTTTGGCACAGGAACTGATGTACAGTAAGTGTTCAATAGAACATTTTTAAGTTCAGTACTGCCTTTAAACTGCATACAGGTGGGACCCTACAATTCCTCCGTCACCTAGATTCGCACTCTATACAAAGTTCACAAACATACACATATACACACATAAATATATGTGTATACACACAAATAATAGAAGAAAAGAATGTGTGAATACATTGCAATGTGGCTCTCAGTAGCTTGACCATATAACAACAAAATGCACAACCTGTAAACCTTTTCTTATACTTAATGCCTTTCTGAATTCAGGGTAATGCTCCTTCTCAACTCCTGTCCTAAATCTCAAAGCAAGAAGTAACTCACTGGTTGAGGATTACTAGAAAGGAACTCTTGATTCAAATGAGAGTAAACTGTACAATTAAGTAGGATGAAAGGCAAATTAATCATCTTGGTAGATCCTTACTTTCAGACAGTATGATGTAAGAGGTTCTTGCAAAGTAAATATACTTTCAAAAATTTTTCTAGCATCATTTTGCTTCTATTCAGGTAACAATTCACAAACCAATGCATGAGAATTTTCGCACCTCAAGATGGTAAAATTTAAGCCAACTCAAGATTAACATGGTTTAGGTAAACAGACACTCCTCATGAAATGTGGCACTAAAATGTTTTAGAGTAATTTTTAAGTGTATATCAAAATTTGACATCTCATACCCTGGAACTGAAATACATCCTTCCTAATTGGTTCTTCCACGTCCTTGCTCTGAGACCTCAATTGTGTTTCTTATGCAGAGTCACCCAATAAGAAAGCTTCATCATCTGTTTGTACCAAAATCTTGGGAGACTGAGGCAATGAGCACTATGAGCATGAGACTGCCACATTCACCACCTAACTGGAGCCTAGGAATGAATATTCATAATCAATACTATGGAGCACGGTAGGTGGCTGGTATGAGCGATCCCCCACCACTCATGGAGAAGATGGGGAGTGGTGGCTCGCATCTGTAAGCCCAAAGCAAAAGAAGTGGTGACAAAAGGATTCCTGGGTCCCTGAACCTTCCTGTTCAACCATTCTCCTGAATTGGCAAGTTTCAGGTTCAGTGAGAGACCCTGTCTCAAAAATCAATTGAAGAGCAATCACACCACACACACACACACACACACACACACACACACACACACACACACACACATGGGGAGGGTGGGGTAACATGATTTTCTTTAACAACTTCAAGGGAGTGTTTGGATTCTGTAAGACGCAAATTTCGTTTTGAAATTTCACAAGTCCCCAAAGATGTTTGTACTAAAATGTAATTTTTTTTCTCTTTTTTATCAAATGAAGTGTTTTGAGCTGTGTTTGCCCATGTCTTCTCACGGAGCTGTAATTCTGTTTAACTCAGCTCTGTCTATAGTTGGATATCAGCATTTGCACTGCTGTTGGAGCTCTTCCGTTACGTCTCATCAGGGATTGGCAAATAGTGCTTAGGTATTTTAAATATGTGAAATTCAGTTCAAAATCAGATTGATGTCCGTATAGTAATTTAACTGAGAGTCATGGCTGTAGCCCGCAGAGATGGAGGTGTGATCAGATTGCGTCTGAGCAGAAAAAGGTAAAGGGATGCTTGCACAGCATGTTTGCCTTCCCCACTTACAGGATAGCTACAAAAACTGCAGGTTAAAATTGCACAACAAAGTAAGGCATAAATTACATGAAACCTTGTATTTCACATGCATTTCCTCACTTATTCCTGTAATAGAATCGCCCTTATCACCTGAACTCAGAGCTAACCGTCCCCAACAGTGACATAAAACTTCAGTTTGGATTTTTTGCAAAGCACACAAAACCTCAGCAGGTGGAGACCAAAATTCCCATGTATGTAAGTTTAATGTGATGTGATCATTACTATACAATGAATCCTTGCCCACATTTCTGGATGGCTCTTGCTATTGCGGGAGGCCTTAATCCTGTAGCTGTAACATTTACAGCCTCATTGACAGAACCACCAAATCAGAACATTCCCTCTCCGACGCTGTTAGTGGCTTTGATGTTAGAGATGAGCTGCTCTTTTGCATTGTTTCTTTTGGGTCCCCAACCACTTGTTTTTTGGAGTTGCTTTTTTTTTTTTTGGTCTCAAAACCAGTCTCCTACTTTAATTTCTCCTCTAACAAAAATCTTAAACTCATGCTTCAGGCTTGAAAAATATTTTTATATTTTTAACACAGAAATGGAATGTTAGTTCTGCTTCTGGGAAAGCACTGTAAGAAAGAAAACTAAGGCAATGTGGTGATGCTCATCAAGGCAGGGTCTCCAAAAGAGAAATGCTGAAGATGACCTCAATGTCCAGAAAGATGGAATCACACACACACGCACACACACACAAAGGTTGACAGCCATTAAAAGGCATGATCCTGCAAGCTGGCACATAAAATTATTCACTACATCTACGGAAAGCAAAAGCAAAATAAGTGAACTACTACGTTCTTCCGATTCTGCAAAGCAGATTCAGGAGCACTGTTGTGCACAGATGTGGCAGTCAGTCCACTTCGTCGCAATGACCCCAAAAGGAATACATTCATCATGTGCGTAGAAGAGCCAGGGACCTGAATGGAAGAGGGCACGCCCACTCATCCTATGCCCTGAAGAGTTAGGCTTCCTTCATTATTTGAAGCAATCTAAGGTTCCACTGAATCAAATTTGACTTTTCCTCCTCTAAAGTTTCTGGTATTCAGTCTCAGCTGGAAACGCTAATGGAAAAGAACTACTTTCTCCCTAAGTCCACGCAGGAAGCATAGAAGTCCTACACACAAGTGTATGACTTCTGCTCTCTCAAGCAGATCTTCAATGCGAACAGCTTAAATTTGCCTCAGGCAGCTCTGTATTTTGATTTTAAGGTGCCTCCTTTTGTTGATCTGAATGAGAGCAGCCATGATGGCAAGCTTAAAAAGAGAGGAAGCAGAGGTGGGGTTCAGCTACCAGAAAACATAGAAAGTGTAGTCCAAGGTCTTTAAACACATCAGCAAGAAGACGGTGGCCCACAGGCAGTTCTCTCACTGAAGGGAGTGGCTTTCTACCTGAACTGACTATGCCCTAATTTCCCCTTTCTCTTTGAAAAGGAACTTTTTCTTATCACCTTTAGGATCTTTTTGTCTTTACTGTGATGATATTTTATTTTTAAATATTCCCATAAAACAAAAAAAATATTCACTGCATGTTGTTAACAAATTAGACCAGATTTTTAAATTGTATTATCCATATGTTTCCAAGCTTATAAATAAATGAATATCTAAGCAATAAAAGGTTAACCCCTACTATTTTATTTTTACTTATTTCCAAGTTTCCTAGAATCCCCTCAAT